TTTCCTTTGGGGGCCCCCGGGGGGAAATTTTTTTTTTTTGGGGGGGGCCCCCCCCCCCCCGGGCCCCCCCCCCGGCCCCCTTTCCCCCCCCAAAAAAAAACCCCCCAAAAAATTAACCCCAAAAAAATTTTTTAAAAAAAAAAAAATAAATTTTTTTTAAAAAAAAAAATTGGGCTTAATTAAAAAAATTTAATTAAAAAACCTTTTAAATTTTTAAAAAAGGGCCCAAAAAAAAATTGGAAAAAACCCCAAAAAAAAAAAAAAAAGGGGGGGAAAAAAAAACAAAAACGGGGGGAAAAAAAAAAAAAAAAAACCCAAAAAAAAAAAAAAACCCCAAAAAAAAAAAAAAAAAAAAAAAAAAAAAAAAAAAAAAGGGGGGAAAAAAAAAAAAAAAAAAAAAAAAAAGAAAAAAAAAAAAAAAAACCAAAAAAAAAAACCCCCCCCGGGGCCAAAAAAAAAAAAAAAAAAAAACCCCCCGAAAAAAACCCCCCCAAAAAAAAAAAAAAAAAAAAAAAAAAAAAACCCCCAAAAAAAAAAAAAAAAAAAACCCCCCCAAAAAAAAAAAAAAAGGGGGAAAAAGGGGGCCCCCAAAAAAAAAAAAAAAAAAAAAAAAAAAAAAAAAAAAAAAAACCCCCAAAAAAAAAAAAAAAAAAAAGGGGGGAAAACCCCTTAAAAAAAAAATTGAAAAAAAAACCGGGGAAAAAAAAAAAAAAAAAAAAAAAACCCCCCAAAAAAGGGGGGAAAAAAACCCCCCCCCAAAAAAAAAAAAAAAAAAGGGGGGGAAAAGGCCCCAAAAAAAAGGGGGGGAAAAAAAAAAACCCCCCCCCCAAAAAAAACCCCAAAAAAAGGGTAAAAAACCCAAAAAAACCAAAAAAAAAAAAAAAAAGGAAAAAACCAAACCCCCAAAAAAAAACCCAAAAAAAAAAAAGGGGAAAAAAGGGGGGGCCCCCCCCCAAAACCCCCGGGGGGACCCGGGGAAAAAAAATTTTTTTAAAAAAAAAAGGGTTGGGGGGGGGTTTTTTTTTTTAAAAATTAAAATTTTTTTTTTTGGGGCCGTACCGCAAAAGGTAAAAAAGGAACCCTTTGGCCTTTTTTCCCGGGGATAAATGTGCGTCGTTCAATACTGAAGAGCGTAATTGAATAAATGACCGTTTTCAAATCTTTGTAATATCTACACAGGTCCAAGATGAATTAGTTTGATTCACCTTGCACCAAAAGTTCTATATTAGACATGGGACAAAATCACAGTGAACTGTGATTTGCTTTTTGCGTACGTAGGTTAGGGTTGGTAGGTAGGTAGGTTAGACGATATTTAATAGTAAATTTAGTATTTTTTAGGGTTCCGTACCGCAAAAGGTAAAAAAGGAACCCTTATAGGATCACTTTCTTGTCCGTCTGTCCGTGTGTCACCACCGAATTTCTCAGGAACGGGTAGACCTAGCAAGTTGAAATTTATACCAGATACTGAGGTCTTTAGTCCCTATTAGGTGTATAAAAATCAAGGTCCTGAAACTTGTAAGTACCTAAATTTACCTTAATTTTCTACTATTTTTATTTTTCAGAATTTTCTCTTTAGTTGTAAGACCTTGCTTTTAAACAAAATTGACAATTCTAGGTCAATCGGAAGTACCCTATAGGTTTTGGGTCGAAAGCCTATATGGTAGTTCCCTTTGACCTAGAATCACGAAATTTGGCAAAAAGAACCGTCTTACAGCACAAATAATAGGGAATATGCACGTGACACCAAAATGGACAAAATATTTTTATTTGTAATTTTTATTGCTAAAAAAAGATACCCATACAATTATTTTTGAAATTTATTATAATTTAATAGTGAAATTTAATCATCAAAAATTGGCTTTTTTAAGATTCCCTCGCAAATTTCTAAAACGCAACGCTATTGGTTGAATAAAACGTGACGTCAACCTACACTGTCAAGAGTGTCAACAAGTTGTGTGTATTTGTAATATTTGGTTTCTGGTGATTATACGTTTCATTTTAAGTTAATAACTAATACGTTTTCAGTATTAAATTCCCTTGTAGAAAGAAAGACTCAACACAATAACTGAATATACTTTGTCAGGGGCAGTTTTGATATTATTTGGGCACAAAGGAACGGCACAATATTTATAATAAGTTTTTATTGGCTTTCCATGGTAATAAGTTAATTTTTATCACTCACTTTTTTAACTTTCAGAAACTTTGTGAACTTTACTCCGTTGTTGACATCGAATTCGTCTGAAAGTGTAATCTGACGTCACAAAAAAAGCGCGCCAATATAAACGTGTTCAAATAGGGAATATGCATGTATTTTTTTTATATTTTTAAACGATTCTACTAGTTATTACATTACCAAAAATAAATATAACACATCCGAAATATAAACCGTTAAGCAAAAAATTTTTTATTAGAATCACTATCATTTTGGGGCAATAGGGAATATGCACGTGACACCAAAATGGACTTTATGCATCGTCTGAGCAGCTTATTGGCAACAACGCGTGCGTAAGTAGTAACCCTAACCAACGTACTAAAAAATCATAAATCACCGGTCTTTCGCACTATATGTTAGGCATTACCTTTGCTTTCATAAAAAATGTTTTAAATGCTATGCCTATCGCAAAAGCTCTATATACACATATATATATATATATATATCTTAGTCAAGTTCCAAGAAAAAACGGTATTTCCTTGCTTTTTTCCTTATTTTTACGTCACTTTTTGTTTGCATATGTAACCCGGATCCGTTGCGGCGTAATTTATGTTCTTGTTTGCTGCATACCTATTATGTACCCACCGCGTGGTAGGTATCGATTCAATTTTATATCATTCAGTTCAGCTATTGTATTATTTAAACATTTTATTGATGTAGTTATTTGACAGGGTGGTTGTACCTAGCTAGAGACGACAATTTTATTACTTAAGATTGGGATTTGATTAATATAGAAGTTTGTGATACTTAGTAGTTTCTTTAAATTGGAATAGTCATGACAATACAATAGAAACATAACTTAATTTGACTTGTTGAATCATTCGTAAGATTGCATTTCACATAGGACTTGTAACTGATTTTGTCATATGTTTTGGTGCTATATTTGTTTAATTAGATTTCTCACGTTTCGTTGTCAATATCCTTAATTAGGTACATCTTCAAGTTATCAATCAGGAGATTGTAAAAAACGATATCTGGTTTTTAATGGTGCTTTGTGCCAAAGCTACATTTTATTTATAACCTTAAAACAAAAGATCAATTTCCAAATTTAAAATAATAGAACGTTCAAAATCATTAATTACTGATATTTCTGAGAATAATCTAATACCGTGAATAGAATTTAAAGTACCCCCAACCTCAAACATTTTCGTATGCCACGTAAGCTGTCGACTAAAATAACTATCAAATAGATCCCACGAATTGCTCGTTGGCATCGCGACGGTTTGGCCTACTTTGGTATAAGATAGGAAGGGAGGAATAAGAGGAGGAAGGGAGGAGGTATTGGTACATGTCTATATGTATAATTTCGGAATTAAATGAATCAATCATATAACGTAGGAGTTAAGCACAATCTCTGATTAACTCACTTTAATAGGTATATTATATATTTTTACACTAAGTTGAAATTATATATAAAATCGATTTCGGCATCTGTACATTAATATAAGCGATATACCTACTTGGAGTTGAAACAAAAAAGTAATGTATTAAAACCAGTTATTTGTATATTATGTTGTTATTTCTACAATAGGCTAGATGTACGTTTAGTTCGTTGATCATTTATAATACCAAATTCAATTATCTAAATGTTATAATAAACTAATTCACATGCAGCTGCCACAGCCTCATTAAATTTCAATTAATTCATCTTTAGCTGATTGTTACTGCTGATACTTCACTAATTATTTATTGTATATCTGTTTGTTACACAATGTTCGTATTTCTTCTGTTACCTACGTCTGTAGACCCCATGTTATTGAACCACACGCCACGTAGAAACTCACTTCAATAAATTTCGCTAGGTACTTTATTGTTATATCTGTTACTGTGTTTATTTAATTTCTTCTTAATATACGTGCAGGAAATGATTTGCCTTATCCTGTTTAAAATTTTAAGTAACATTAAACATTGTTATCATTACTATGACGAATGATTTTATCTAAGTTCAATTCTAAATATTATTACTAATTTTTATTTTACTATAGAAGTAAAGAATTATCACTGTTACATGTGTTGATTTAATATAGATATCACATTTATCACTTCATAATGATAACCGTAAAAGTATTTTTCTTTATAGTTTGGTTTTTTGTTTCAGGTACGAATTAAGTTCAACTTCAGACACTTAGAGGCTCAGATACAAATTGCGCGTTGTCAAGGTAATTAATAATAAAATTTTAAATAAATTCTTAGCTTCAAAATATAATACACATTATCAACACATGTAACTCACTAATCAATTTATCTTCACGCAACTATTTAATATTTGGCCTTATCGTTTAAATTTACGCATTCATTTATGTAATAAAGTACACTACTATTCATAGATCGTTGAATTTGACTAAAAGATTAGACTTCAAGAGGTCACTGGAAACTTTGTTCACATTGTCGTAAGTTTGACCGAGTCATCCTTTTATTTAAGTAGAGTTGAATGCGAGCGAGCCGTTCAACATCTGCAGCACGACTGCCGCGAAATTCATTCAACAGGCCGACAGGATGTGGGCGGGGCGTGCGGGACGCGGCTTCATTGGGTGAACGCGCGACGAGCAGTGATGGCCGCCGTCGCATTCAACCAATGAGCGGCGCGCGAGCCGAACGCACGTCCGTCCGGCGAGAGTGCGACGTTGCCAGCTTTTACCAGAAAAAAAAAACCAGATTCGACCTTCTTAGGACCCCCGGTTTTTTTTTGTTTGGCCGCGTTATCATTCGGGAACGTATATTGAGGTCCTTATCCGTCCGTGAGATGGTTCTGCGCAGGTGGATGTGTGGTGTAGTGCTATAGTTTATTATGGTGTGGTCCACGCAAACCGGGGAGGTGTTGATTGACATCATAACGAGGTACTGTGCATACATAATTGTTTATATTTTTATTGTGTACATATACTGGGCTGAGTCATGTGACATTACAATTACCTCATTGCCTTAACTATACGAGCGTTATCACGGTTAGCTACAATTTATCAATGTTATTCGTTTGTTATGGATAATAATGTTTCTGATATCGTTTATTTTGCGACATAAGAGGTTATTGACGCTTCACGGTTCACTGGGAGAATCCGATCTTGATTTGGATAGCTGGAACTCGTACCCTTATGTTGTCCTGTAGAGGTCATTGACACTTAGTATACCTACATAGCTATGATGGGTATACATACGTGACAGGAATGCAGTAGTATTCATGCTTCTTACAACTACAGATTAAATGTAAACTCAGACCTATATCTGAAGTAGATAGGTACTTTTTTTTAATACTGTTTAACTATACCTACCCTAAGTTGTATAACTATCACTTATATAACTATCATTATAAATACAGATAAAATTCTGTTCCAAACCTGGTCATGTCATACACCACACTCCTACAATTGAGGTTATCGCACAGCTACTGCTAGCAGCTGGTATATGTATACATTATGTATACATATACCAGTGAGAGATTAAACAATTTGGACAATAACTACACACACAAGCTTGTCACGTGTGTGTACAGGTTTTACAGATCTGGGCCTCAATTCTGCTATTTAAATATTGCATCAATAGACTGTCGTTGGAATGTCGTCGGAATAGTTTTGCACTTTTCTTATGCTACTAGCTACATAAGACCAATGGCCTTACGATGAATTGTCACTGATACAAATGTCGTCGATGTCTTTGTAATGGTTTGGTAAACGTGCGTTTCAAATTTGTAAGAACATTTTATATTTAATTTTCATGATATGACAATGTTTTGGATATCACCATTGATGACCTATATTACTATATCGACAGTCTATTGACACTAAATTTGTGTTAGTAGAAATGTTGACCGATGTCAGAGGCATCTCAATGGCATCTCAATACCGTGTCAGTGGAATGTCATTGGCTTGGCGTTAACATAAAATAGTAGAATTGAGGCCCAGGTCGAAAATCGAAACGGTCACGTGTTTGTTCGGAACGTAAAATTTTCTAGTAGTACCAATGCTAGACTATTATATCGTCTTAGAAGAGAACTCTGGCTAGCATAAATATCCGAAATGGCTAAAAAATATATAATAATTAATAATTAATAATAATAAATAATAATTGAACACGGTGGTATACACCGTGTTCAATTATTCATATTCCTACTTAATCTTATTAGGTACTATTTCGTATTTGAAACTTGTTACGTTATTCTTACTGATTCTCAGGCACGAGTTTTTTTTTAATGAAATACAAAGAAATGAAACGACGCTCATAAGAAAAGTTTAAAGTTTCAAATTTAGTTTTTCGAAAGATGAGGCACAACAATGTGTTTCCCACACTATATGGCTTTTTCATCTCAATAAGGATTTTATATACGTACATATATACATATTAATGTTTAATGGCAAAAACAAGTGAAATACCTCATATGAATCATCGTGGGACGAATGTGGAATGAAACAAGCAAGGTTTAGCTCTTTGTTTCAAGGCTACTGAATCTTTAATGAGTAACGATAGGTAGATGGTTCGGTAAGCACGGTTGTTTTCTAAAATAAGCATTAAGGTATGTATATTTCTGGTAATAGATAGTAGATGATAACGCAGGTGTTTCTGACAGTTGGGAATTACCACAAAGACAGTTGTTCCATGATAATATTTCATTGGAAAATTGTATCTATGTACGTTCTCTTAACTGTTAGAACGAAATTAACAGTAAGATCTTTATTACAATTAATATTACTACTGCTAAGAATGATTATTTTTCTTAGTACTACTTGCATAGGCGATGAAGAAAAATATATTTATCTGCCAGATTTCAATAATTCTAGCAGTGGCGTTGAGATATACCTTTTTTTTCTTTTGCCACCACCGGATGCCCGGTATTCCGAGGGCCTTGAGCTCGACTTTGGCCTGGACTTTCGCTAAGTCCTCGGCGTAAACCCCTCCCCCCCTCCCCGTCTCCTCCGTCCGTCCGTCAGGGTGACACCGTTGAGATATATGTACCTAATGCTTGTGCCTGAAGTAAATGATTGTAGATCTGTTTGACTCTGGTATTATCTTTCCCCACTAGGAGCAGAAAATTTGAGAGTTTTATAATCAATTTTATCGCGTGTCCAACTAGAAGTAGTCTTTTATTGCCAGTGGCTTCGTTCGCGTGTTTGTCTTGTTTTGTCTTTCTAACTTTAAAAATTACGAACTTCCACACAACCGTTCATTCCTTATTTCACACCCTTAGGGGTGAAATTTTCAAATATCATTTCTTAGAGAGTGCTTACAACATAAAAAGCATCAACTGCTAAACTTGTAAGTGTAGCCACAGCGTTTTAGGCTCTGCGTTGATGAATCAGTCAATCAGATCAAGTAATTTTATATGTATTGATAAGACATCTTAGAATAGAGAGTATAATTCTCTTTATTTTACTATATTTTTAAGAAGTGGTTCCAAAAGCAGAACTCTAAAATGTACCAAATGCGATCAAATGTGTACAAATGGTACTATTTTCAGTTAAAAATAACCCATAAAACTAAATACTCATGTTAAACATCCTAAAACTTTTGAATCCAAATGTTTAATATTCCAAATAAAAGAAGTTGAAATTGCTTTAAGAGAACTATGTAATAAAGGCTGAAAGCCAGATTATAGCCAAATCTACAACATCAACAACACGTTTTACAGCTTCGCATTTTTGTGAAGTGATGATTGAACAGGATGTTTTAACTATCTCTATAAACAGAATAGACACTTTAAACACAGAGCTAGTTATTGGCATTCTTCTATTACTATTTGCTATAAATTCGATTTTTTATTTATTGCTTTTGCAGTAAGTATTAGAGGAACTCCTTACGCTACTTCCATTAATTTTTGAAGGAATGAAAAGGACTTTAAAAATATCTACATTTCACTATACGTTCTTCAAGATGTCACAAATGTCTATTATATTAGGTTTCTAAAATCATATAGAAAAATATCATAATAAGTAGAACTGTCTAGTACAGAATTTCGAAGCTTTAGGTTGATAGAGAAAACTTTATACTACATTAACACGTTCAAGTCCTCACCTGTAAAATTCCGTTGTCGATTGCTTAAAAACAACCAGAAAAAAAAGCCGTGTGGTGTCGTGGGACACCCGATAGGAACGAAGTTGTGACGATCGAGTAAAACTGATTCGACACGATTTTAATTACAACGCCATCTATGAAAGCGGCTATTACCTACATATTTTTCAGTTGGTTTCTAATTAAAACAATTTATACATTGGTAAAATCTCCTTGAGAAATGATGTCGAATACAATATTTTTTGCTCAACCTAAGAACATAAATTTTAATTTTACTGAGATGAAAAGTAATGATTTGATATTCGATAGATGGCACTGAATGACTGACAAGTGACAATTCACAATAAAAAGTGTCGTTACAACTTTTCGTGAGATTTTTTTCCGTCTAGCCCCCTTTCACAACGCGCGATAAGGAACTTCGTTCCAATGAACGATGCAATCAAAACAGGCAAGACACAAAATATCACTTACAGTTTTAATATATAGGCCTTACATCAAATATACCTTAGAAACACGTTTTTTTTTATTTAAATTAAAAACGACAATCGGTAGTTTCACATACTTTAAGTTCTTGGTTTAATATGCTATCGTATTAATTAACCACACAATGAATGTTTTTTGAGGATATGTTGTAATAGTCTGACACAAAAATTGCTATGTACAGCGTCTGTACTTTATTAGCTCATGAGAGGATAGGTATTAATTACACCACCAAAAATACGTAAAAAATACCATTATCATACACCTATATATATATATATATATATATATATATATATATATATTATATTTAAACACATTATATTTATCGAAAGTATGACATTTCATGCACGACATTGTTAGCATTTCTAAATACAACTACTAAAACGTCAAAGCGCAGTTCGAGGGCGTAACGTCTCAAACCTTAACTGTGCAATTTGAGTACAGTTTAGTTGTTGCCATTTTAGCCCAGACATATATGTGATCGAAGCCTATAGAATGTAGAACAATCGTGATGACCTACTTATTAAAGCAACGTGCGTGCCACGAGTCATGTTGACAGAAGGCAATCAGTGTTATGCGTGTTTCGATGATTTTGATGTCCTACGGTTTGTTTATAGTCATCATCACATCAAAATAAGTATTATTTGTGATTATTGTCTATAATAATATTTACTTTTTTTTAAAAATTAATATTACAAAATACATAAATGAAATAATATTGACAGGAATACAGCGGTACAGAATATTATGGTTATTATTGAAAAGGAAATACAGTTAATTTGCAAAGTTATAACTAATTTCAAAAGTTTTTAAACCTTTCGATGCAGTGGCAATATAAAAGAATCACATAGTCGTAGCATATACGAGGGGTGATCAATAAGTAATGATAATCAATATGAAACAGAACTATTAGATTAAAAAAAGTATTTTATTTTTCAACATAGTCTCCTTGCAAGTTAATACATTTAGTGTATCTTTTTTCTAAGCCCATGATTCCCTTAGAAAAAAATTCTTTGTCTTGACCCTCCCAAAATGCCTCTACTGCGGCCATCACTTCACTATTGTCCTCAAATTTGTTGCCCCGGAGGTGTTCTTTGAGCCGAGGAAAGAGGTAGAAGTCACTGGGAGCTAGATCTGGCGAATAGGGAGGGTGTTCGAGCAGTTCGAACCCCGTTTCTTCAATGGCAGCCATCGCAACTGCGGCTTTGTGAGCCGGGGCGTTGTCTTGGTGAAACAGCACTCCAGCGCGCAGTTTACCGCGTCTTTTTGACTTAATAGCTTCTCGCAGTCTTCTTATTTGGCCTGCGTAGTAAGAGCCTGTTATAGTGGCCCCCTTTTCCAAATATTCCACCATA